TGGCCCATTGCCTGGATCTAAACCCTGAGGCTCCAAGGCCTTAGGCTGTGGATATGGTTGCAGGGACTAGAGCTGGGGCCTGATGCTGTGGATGGAAAGCTAAGAGAGGGACAGCAATGTAGCCTGGGTCGCCCAGGAAGTCAGGGGTAGAGCTGGGCCGAGCTTGGCCTCTTCCCTTCTTCCCACAAGCCATCATGGGTGGCCAGTGCCCTCACTTGCCTGGAGGCAGACACCCTCCTGGCAGGGCATAGACCCCCTGTTGTCCCCCTCACTGTCTCTGTGACAGAAACCTGGGACAGGGGTGGAATGTGAGACCGGGAGTTCCCCAGGGCGTCCCGGAAGTCCGAGCTGCAGGGTCCATGTAATCATTAACGAGGGGGCTGGAAGCCCTGGACTGTAGTCAGGGACCCCTGGGCCAAGGCCAAGCCCCAACCGCCCTCTGTTAATCAGCGACCATTGGTGGGGGTGCCCCAGCTGCTGCACAGGACCCTCGAGGCAGCTGCTATGGCCACTCTGAGTTGGCAGGGACATTTCTTCTCCCGACATGTTTCTATTTTCTCATCTGTCAAACGAGCGGGCATCACTTTAAAGAGCTTTTTCCCCTCAGGATCAGGAAGGTCCTCCAAGGACTGGAGGGCCTGCCCTGCGTGTGGGAGCACTGGGCCTGAGCCCCCGAATGTTGCTGGACGCAGCCCTGAGGGCTCCCCGGTGCTGCTGGCTTATCCCTGGGAATTGCGTCCCTTGGGATCCCACCAGCACGGTGTCCAAGGCCCGGGCATCCAGCTGCCAACTGCTGGCTGAGAGCTACCACTGGGACCCCTGGGACTCTGGAGCACTGCTCAGGAGCCCCCCGCCCCCAGTGAAACAAGTATATCAGATACATAGTTGTAAGTACAGCTGACCCCCACAACCCCAGGATTTGGACTGCATGGGTCCAATCATAAAAGCATTTTCTTGTAAACAGTTGTCATCAACTTATGGATCTGAAAAATACAATAAATGAATTTTTCGATGTTTACCTTCCTTTCTTCTTTCCGTCCTTCCTTCCCTCCTTCCTTTCCTCCCTCCTTCCCTCCCTCCCTCCTTCCTTCCCTCCCTTCCTTTCTTCCTTACTCTCTTCCTTCCTTCCTTCCTTCCTTCCTTCCTTCCTTCTCTCCTTCCTTCTTTCCCTCCATTCTTCCTTCCTTCCCTCCTTTCCTCCTTCCTTCCTTCCCTCTCTCCCTCCCTCCCTTCCTTCTTTCCTTCTTTCCTTCCCTCCTTCCTTCCCTTTCCCTCCTTCCTTCTTTCCCTCCATCCTTCCTTCCTTCCCTTCTTCCTTCCTTTCCTCTCTCCCTTCCTCTCTCCCTTCCTCCATCCTTCCTTCCCTCCTTCCCTCCCTCCTTCCTTCCTTCCTTCCTTCCTTCCTTCCCTCCCTCCCTCCTTCCCTCCTTCCCTCCCTCCCTCCCTCCCTCCTTTCTTTCTTTCTTTCTTTCTTTCTTTCTTTCTTTCTTTCTCTCTCTTTCTTTTGTTCATTCATTCCATCTCTGGCTCTCTTCTTTACACTTGTTCCTGTGTTTGCTTTTCCCTCCTTCCGCGGCTGTACACGTAGAGTATGGGGTCCATGTTGCGTAGAGGTGCGCCTTCATGGACTTTATGCCCTTGGCACAGTTTCCGGTTGACAGCAGGTGGCAGTCATCAGGTCTGGGGGAATCAACAGTGACACCAGGATTTTTGACAGCAGAGGGGAGCACTGTCTCTAATTCCCACTTTGTTCAAGGGTCACTTGTAACTTCAAGCCCTCCAGCAACTTGTTTTTTTTTTTTTGCGGGGCGGGGGGGGGGGGGGGCCACCACCAGCCGTGCTCAGGCCTTAATCCTGGCTCTCTACTCAGGAGTTACTCCCGGCAGGCTCAGGGGAACATTCGGGATGCTGGGGATCAAACCCAGATCAGTCTCATGCAAGGCAAGTGCCCTGCCCTGCTGGATTATCGCTCTGGCCTCTTTTTATTTTTTATCAATAATTTAATGTGCATATTAAACAACTCACCCATAGAAAGCAAAGCGCTTATGCTGATTTGGGATCTTTTTCTCATGTGTCCTCCAATGACGCAGGAAGAGGATGCTGTCATCTCCCCACAAGACTCCCAAGGCTCAGGGGGCTTAACTCAGGCACTGGCAGCCACACAGTCGAGTAAGAAACTCTCTCCTTCTGCCCTTCCAATCTGCCTTGAGAGTTTGGGGGTTTATGCTCCTTGACTCTTGGAAGGTGTTTGCAGAGACAGGCCCCCTGATGGAACTGAGCTGAGCCATGCCGAGCCTTGGGGCAGCTCCGTGGCTGAGGGGGGTCTCTCATGCCTGCTAAGGGCCCCCTGAGATGCTGGTGCACAGCATCTCTCCAAGCCTGCAGAATCATCTGTGGAGATGCAGAGTCCTTGTTGATTTGACCAGGATGTTTGGGTCCTGGCCGCCTTCCATGCCCCGTGCTTCCATGGACATCCCTGCCTGGGGAGGCATGGCTTCCTCTGCAGGCAAAACTGCAGGACCTGGTGCTGATGTTGCTTTGAGCCTTTCTCGGATGTGTCAGAACGTGGGTGGGTGGAGTGATAGGAGAGTGGGGAGGGTGCTTTTCTGGTGTGCGGCCCACCCAGATTCGATCCCCGGCACCCCCCTGCACCTACCAGGAGTGATCCTTAAACTCAGAGCCAGGAGTAACCCTGAGCGCTGCCAGATGTGACCCCAAAAGAAAACAAAAAAGAATGCGGGAGGGAGAGGAGACACTGGTGGTTTCTGCTTCCAGCTGTGTGTGAGAGTCCTGGGGTTTCTTGAGTCCTGATGCCTCCAGGGAGCGAAGCACTTTTTGAATTGAATTTAGCTCTACAGGCTCAGCCAGACATACATCCCCAAGCACCTGGGCATCACTCTGGATCAAGTGCAGACTTTGTGGGCCCGGGGACCCCACCCTCCTGCCCAGCCTCCTCTCTTCTCTCTGTGTCCAGAGACCGCGCCTGCCCGCGAATGCCTTCACTTTCCCTCTTTGTCCTGAGTCAGGCCAACTCCCAGGTCCTGTTCTCCTGCAATTCTCTCTAGATTATCGTTTCTTTGCACTCCCTCGCCCCGCTCTCAGCCCACATGCCCCCGCCCCATACATGGGAGGAAGTTACTGGTGTGGTAGGGTCCCCTCAGCCAGATTCGAGAGCTGGAGGGGTCCAGAGACAGGGAGCAGGCAGCATGCTTAGGGACACTCATCTTCCTGGCTGCGAGCCAGGCTGCGTTCACAGACAGATGCAACCCTCAGCGTTTCCTACACCCATTTAGCAGATAAGGAGGCACGTCAGGGCCTGGGCGTTGGCTCAGCAGGCGAAGCCCTGGCTTTGCATGTGAGAGTCCTGGGTTGGATCCTAACACTGTCAAAGCTGAAGCAAAACACACAACTCTTAGGCTGAAGGTGTGGCTCAGTGGAAGGGCCTTGTGTGGGTGAAATCCTGGCTTTGATCTCTGGGACTGCAAAAGAAAAGAACAGGGCAGGAGAGATAGCAGTGGGCGGGGCCCCTGCTTGCAGACAGTCAGTCTTGGCGCTATCTCTGCCCCCCCCATGGTCCCCTAAGCCCACCAAGAGTGATCCCTGAGCACTTCTGAGTGTGGCCCCAAATCAGAAAAAAAAAAAAACAACAGGTAACTTTCCTTGTAACTTACACACAGAGACTGAACTCAGTGGATCTCTAGTCTTCCAGAATTCTTACTGTCTCGGCACCAGGAGGATCTGGGTTGCAAAGGGAACTTGGAAATAGAGAAGTTGGGGCGAGTGGGGGTGGTGGAGGAGTGGGGTCCGGTGTCTCCATAGCCCCTCTGGAGGAAGGCGCCAGGAGTTGGGGGAAGAGGCTTAATCTTCTCTTCCTTGGAGACATCAATGAGGCTTAAAGCTGGAAAAAAACAACCCCCCCACCCTCAAATAGCAATAAAACCAGGCAGCAGCAAGGTCTGGCTAGTGGGTCCTGAAGGTCAATCTGAAGTCATCAGCTCAAGAAGACCGATCACAGAGAGATCATACAGCCGATAGGGCTCTTGCCTTGGAAGCCACTGACCAGGGTTCTCAGCAACCCATACGGTCCATTGAACACCACTAGGAATAATTCTTGAGTGCAGAGCCAGGAGTAACTCTGAATATTGCTGGGTGAGACCCAAGGCCTAAAGAAAAGAGAAAGATCAATAGAATTGGGGACCATCCAAACGTTTTAAATAGAAGGGAGAAAAAGGTTGCTTGTGTAAAATAGAGCCAGCCTTGGCAGGAGACTGGCACCCTGTCCCACCCCTGCCTTCAGACCCCTCCCCCAATCCCCTGCCCCAGTGATGCCTCCAGCTGGTAGCAGCCTTGAGCTGTCCAAGAGGCCTTCCAGATGGAACTAGGGTTCAGACTCTGATCCTGGCACCCCCACCCTGCGTCCCCCATCTGTGGAATGGAGTGTCCAGAGTCCCCCGCTGCCCCACCCACCCCCATAAAGGATGTGATGAGGTGACATGTGGCTTATCCCGTGTCAGCTCTCTGTGACATGTGGAAAGTTTCCAATAAATGCGAGCAGCTGGGATTTTCTTGGGGGGGGGGGGCTGGAGTGCTGAAAGTGCTTGCAGAGGCAGCGCTGGGATGAGGCGGCTTGCAGAGGGGCCCACAGGAGGCTACGTCCCCATCCAGCCTGCAGCCCCTGATCTGCGTGCGCGTCCCTGCAGTGTAGTGCCCAGGGATCGCCTGTTGTGTGTGCCGGCTCTTGGGCTCGGTCTCCACGCGCGCGGGGGAGCGGGGTGAAGGGGCGGCCTCGCCCCGTCCGGTCGGTCGATCTGTCCCTTGGGATCCCCGAGGTCTCCAGAATCCAGGCCAGATTCCCGCCCCTCTCAGCCCCGCTGGGGGCACCCCTCCTCCCCGGCCTTGGCCCGCGCGCTCCCCCGAGGGGCGGGCCCCGCTCCGGCGGGGCTGGGCTGGCGGCTACTTAAGGTCGGGGCGAGGGAGGCTGCGCTGCCCAGCTGGTCTCCCTCGCTGGTCCGCGATGATGATGGTCCCGCACCGCTCCGTGCCCGCGCTGCTCTGCGCGCTGGCCCTGGCCCTGTGCGCGCTGCCCCCGGCCACCCGCGCTGCCAGCTCTGAGCGCGGTGCCACCAGCTCTGCGCGAGGGGCCGCCCCGGCGCGCGGGGCCTCCCAGGGGCGGGTGAGTGTCCGGAGCAGGGGGCTCCCGGAGTAACTCTCTTATTGTGTAAGTTCTTGCAGATACAGCGCTAGGAAAAGGGGAGTAATTCAGGTCTAGAATGGAAAAACTGTTTTGTTGCTTTGTAAGTATCCCGCGCTGCTTCCGGGGCTCCGGTGGAAGAGGGTGGGCGACTCGGACCCCGCCTGCCCCGCGCCTTCCAGGCTAACCTCGCCCGCCCGCGGGGCCAGAGCGCTTCGCCCTTTGGCCTCTGGCTCCTTACCACCCGGTTTGTCTCCCCCGCCCCTAATTTGCCCTCCCCTCCGTCTGCTTGCTCCGTTCCGGGTCTCTCTCCCTCTCCGATGCATCCCGCGATCTTTCCCGCGGGTCCCTCCGCCGTCGGTCCAGTCTCTCACACCTGCTACCTGCGTCTGGCTGCTGCCCGCTCTGCTACCCAGGAACCCGCAGCCGACTGCCTGTTTCTCCCGGATCCAGCTAACTCCCCTCCCTGGCCCCTTGTCCCTTGTCTTAGCCCCAGCGCATGCCTGACCGACAGCCTAACCGGTTCTCCACCAGGCTCCCGCAGAGCCTGGCCGCAACCTCCTTGGATTTTCCAGAAAACGGAATTTGGGGGGTGGGATGCTGGGGGGCCGGGGCAGGAGGGAGGAGGCAGGTAGCGAAGGAGGCCACCTGGGCTTGGTCATCATCCCTGTTCTTCTGGGTGGTCAGCGGTTGGCCTGAGAAGACACCCCACTGTCCAAGGGCAAAAGAGTAGAGCGGCTGTGTGACCTTGGGCCAGCCTCCTGGCCCCTGGGGACCTTCTTTTCTCCACCATGTGGGCTTGGATGCAGACCTCCCTGAGGACCATTAGCGTTCCAAGAGCCCCTCGGGAAGCTGGGTCCATTGGGGTGCCCCAGATTTATTACTGCCATACGATGAGGGGCTTCTCATGACCCCCTGCCTGCGCGCTTGGGTCCTGGGGTAATTCCCGCTATGCCATCTCCTAGCTGGGGAGTCCCTAGCAGGATCACATCACCTCTCTGTGCCCCAGTTGTCCCATCCCAATGGCATGAAGAAGGGGGGAAGGTGAAGCCTTCCCACCCACCCACCCACCCCTACATTCCCCAGGGGCAGGAGCAAGTTGCTGGCCAAGGGCTGGAGGAAGGGACAGGAAGGGAGTCTACTTAGCGTGAGTCTGAGGCACTAGCGAGACCCTCTCGATGCTGGAGACCCTCTCCCCCGTGCTGGGGTCCCTCCCTGGGGGCTTCGGCCCCTGCTCAGGCCCTGCCTGCTCTCTTGCAGCCCAGCAGTATGGTGGTGGAGCACCCTGAGTTCCTCAAGGCGGGCAAGGAGCCCGGGCTGCAGATCTGGCGCGTGGAGAAGTTCGACCTGGTGCCTGTACCCACCAACCTCTACGGCGAGTTCTTCACAGGGGACGCCTACGTGATCCTGAAGACGGTGCAGCTGCGGAACGGTGCCCTGCAGTATGACCTCCACTACTGGCTGGGTGAGCCCTCCTGCCACACACCCACCTTCTGGGCGGGGCCCCAGGCAGCACCCATGGGGGCTGAGTCTAGGTAGAGCAGGATGCAGGTGCCAGCCAGATCCAGGGCTCTGGATCCTGCCTGTGGGGGTCAGCCCCCGGCACTGCCCTAGGACAGGTCATGTGATACCTGTGCCCCGTGCCGCGAGGACGTGGGTCCCACTCAATCCCAGAGAGTATGATCCTTGGGGCTGGAGCGATAGCAAAGTGTGTAGGGCATTTGCCTTGCATGCGGCTGACCCGGGTTCGATTTCCAGCATCCCGTATGGTCCCCTGACCACCACCAGGAATAATTCCTGAGTGCATGAGTCAGGAGTAACCCCTGAGCATCACTGGGTATAACCCAAAAAGCAAAAAAAAAAAAAAAAAAGTATGGTCCAAACTGGGAAACTGGAGTGACCTGGGGACCCTGACCCCCTTTGTGGCTCCCCTGGCCCAGCTTCAGCTGCATCCCCAATGGCCCTTCAAAGGTAGAAGCCTGGACTCAGTGCCACACTTCTAGTCCCTGGCTAGCCTCTGTTTCCCAATCTGTGAAATGGGCCAGTGCTCTCTGGTGTAGCTACAGGTGCCAGAAGGTTGAGCGTGAATTTGGGAGAGGGTCGAGCAAGGGGAGAGCAGAGCAGGAGAGGGAACAGAGATTGGGACATCACCCCACTTATACACCTGGGTAAAGTGAGGCTCCCCATGATGCTGGCAGGGCCATGGAGGGGAGGATGCCTGGGGCTTATGATGCCTGTGGGTGCCCTCCCCAGGCAATGAGTGCACCCAGGATGAGAGCGGGGCAGCTGCTATCTTCACCGTGCAGCTGGACGACTACCTGAATGGCCGCGCCGTGCAGCACCGTGAGGTCCAGGGCTTCGAGTCCAACACCTTCCTCGGCTACTTCAAAAACAACCTCCGGTACAAGGTGGGTCCCGGGCAGGGTGAGCCGGCAGCCATGGCTCGAGATCCCCTGACCACTCCCAGCTCTGAGAACTCGGACGCGTCACATAACCTCGCGGAGCCTCTGGTTTCTGTTTCCTTCTTTTGTTTCATTTTAAAAACGTTCTAAAGTTTTAGGCAGGGGCCAGAGAGTGCAGTGAGTAAGTAGGGTACTCGCCTGGCAGGTGGCTGACCCGGGTTCGACTCTCTGCACCACTTATGGTCGCCAGAGCACCACCAGGAGTAATTCTTCAAAGCAGAGCCAGGATGAACCCCTGAGCATTGCGGGGTGTGGCTGCAAAGGAAACAACAACTTGTGGCACTGAGATTTACAATGTTGTTAAATGATAGGGTCTCGTTCATACAGTGTTCCAACACCCACCCTCCACTAGGGGGGGCCCTCTTCCCCCTTTGTCACACAACCCCTCTCCCCATCCTCCACCATAGCGAGCTCCATTCTGAAGGTCAGTTCCCATGCTGTGTTGCCTTTGGCCGCTTGTGCCCACTTTGTTTCTTTATATCCTGCTGAAGAGCAAGATTGTTAGCCCTCTCCTTCTGACTCACTTCACTGAGCAAGATGCTCTCCAGCTGTCTCCCCCAGCAGCAAATTGCCTGATTTCACCCTCGGCATTGCACAGGGGTTACTCCTGGCTCTGCACTCAGGAATTACTCCTGGCGGTGCTCAGGGGACAACATGGGATGCTGGGAATCGAACCCGGGTTGGCCACTTGCAAGGCAAACAAACGCCCTACCCGTTGTGTTATTGCTCCAGCCCCATCCGCAGCTCTTTAATAGTGCCCTGACACACACTTTCTGAGCAAAGCCAGCTGGGCTGGGTGGTCAGCTGGAGAGAGGACAGGACAGTCCTCTCACAAAGGGAAGCAGAGCACAGGGCCAGGGCCGGCTGCCACTCTCCTCCGGCACTCGAGGACTCCGGGGCCGACAGCATTTTCCCTTCCACATTTAGGGTGCAGATCACTGTCTCCTCCTCCCTCGCACTGACGGGGTCAGATCCCAAGAGATTTTGTTTTTTGATCCTTCTGTGAGAAATACCTTGCCTCTACCCTGTGTTGTACAACTTTTACAATGAAAAGGCTATGGTAGCTTTATATATGCCTTCAAAAATCCTGAAATACATACACATGTTCTTTCTTTCTTTTTTTTTTTCTTTTTGGGTCACACCTGGCGATGCATAGGGATTACTCCTGGCTCTGCACTCAGGAATCACTCCTGGCAGTGCTTGGGGGACCATATGGGATGCTGGGAATCGAACCCGGGTCGTCGGCATGCGAGGCAAATGCCCTACCTGCTGTGCTATCGCTCCAGCCCCTCACCATTTTTCTTACAACAGAGTAGTATTCCACTGTGTATATGTTCCCTGGGCTAGAGTGTTAGCACAGTGGGTAGGGTGTTTGCCTTGCACGTGGCCAACCTGGGTTCGATTCCTCCACCCCTCTGAAGAGGCCGGCAAGCTACTGAGATTATCCTGCCCACCCGGCAAAGCCTGGCAAGCTCCCTGTGGCATATTTGATATGCCAAAAACAGTAACAAGTGTCACAATGGAGACGTTACTGGTGCCCGCTCAAGCAATTGATGGACAAAGGGAGAACAGTGCCACAGTGCTAGTTTACCCTGGTTTCTTTAGCCACTCATCTGTCCCTGGGCTCTTGCCAGACTTGGGCTATTGTGATTAATACTAAAATAAACAGAGGAGTGACAATGCCTTCCTTTTCTATTATTATTATTTTTTTTTAAAGAGAAGCATGATAGCTTTTATCGAAATGTTTTTAGACATGAGAGGAGAGAAAGAGAGCAAGGACAGATTCAAGAGAGAACATGGGCTTCCCCAGAGTTGGGGAAAGCAATGAGACGTGGAGATACGCAAGCCAGATCCGTGTTCCAGGAAGAACGTGGGCTTGAAGAGCAAGCCACATATCTTTTCCTCAGAGAGTTTTTGGGGTTCTGATCTTAAACTGGAGAGAAGACCACCCCCGTCATTCATGCCGTATTCCTCACTCCAGCAGCAGGGATGGTGCTGTGGCTGCCAACCCAGACCGCCACTTGCCCACGCCTCGGGGCCTTCTCCTGCTCCTGCATCTCTGGGTTAGGCTTGAGGGGCATCCTTCTTCCCTGCCTTGAGGGGCTTAGGGTATTCCCCCACCTGCTGCTTGGCTGGAAGGGGTGAGAGAGAGACAGAGACAGACAGAGAGACAGACAGATAGAGCAAGCGAGAGCGAGAGAGAGTGAGTGAGAGAGAGAGACAGAGAGCGAGAGAGAGACAGAGAGAGACAGAGAGACACACACGGGGGGGGGGGGGGGGAAGAACCTGGCATGAGGGAAGGTGGTTTCTTTTTGTTGTTTGTTTTTTAAATAATTTCTCAGATTATCAAATAGGACAGTATTCCATTAAAATAATCAGGGGCTGGAGTGATAGCATAGCGGGTAGGGTGTTTGCCTTGCACGCGGCTGACCTGGGTTCGATTCCCAGCATCCCATGTGGTCCCCTGAGCACCGCCAGGAGTAATTGCCAGAAATAACCCTGTGCATTGTTGGGTGTGCCCCCCCCCCCCGCCCAAAAAAGAATCATATACATTGTTACTAATTAATTACAAATTTTAAACATTTAAGCCATGTATCAGGTGATTCCAACAGATGTTTTTATTCTAGGAGCGAGCAGTTGACCCCATGGCAGTCTGAGGCAGGGTAGTCTGTTTGCTGTTTCCTGTGGCAAAGAAATTCGGTGAAAAATTTTGAGAACTCTGGAGGAAAAAAAAAAGAGGTTGAGAGCTCTAGAATTAACAATGGTCATGTCAATACTTTCCTGGTGAACTTAGAAATTCTGCACAATGAAAGGACTGTGCTGAAAACAGGAAAAGGGTTTATTGCAGCTCACTGTAACAGTCTCATCATCTTCGTGTAGACTTTTATTAGGGAAAGTGGTTTCTTAGCCCTGGTTAACCAGGGTCTCATTAAGGCCCCAAGGAGGACCGATTAGGTTTTTAAAAGGCCCCCTTGGTTGCATTCTTCTTCCTGTTCACAAATACCTCCTTGAACTTGAACTCTAAGCGTCTGGGCTAGCCCAGAGCTCTCCCCTGCGACCTCCAGGTCTGGGTGAGCAGAGGCCAGCAGGAGACTTCTAGAAGCCGCGTGGGCCCCCTAAGCGTCCTGTTGCGCTCTGGTTACCTGAGAGCCCGTCAGACCTGCCCTTCAGGCCTGGGGAGAGGATTTAGGGAAGGGCTGGGTCTTGGGGAGGCCTCAGAGGAGGCTGCAGTCCCGGGATCCTGATTGGCCCTGAGGAGGATGGATCACTAGGGAGGGGACACAGAGGCACAGAGAGGTTAAGCAACCTGGGGTTACACCACAGCCAGTTCAAGTTAGAGCTAGGACCAGGATCTAGTACTGACTCTGCGTTCTTCCCATGGCACCCACCTGCCTCTTGGGGCCAGTGTCTAGCCTAGAATAGAATAGGGGTCCAGCCGTCGGTGCTGTATGACCTTGGATCTACCATTGTCCCTCTCTGGGCCTAGGTCCCTTGGGACGGTGAGCCTGTGTGCTCCGGAGAGGCACACACCGGCTGGCGGGTGATGAGAAAGAGCCAGTGAGAGGGAGAACAAAGATCTGGGTGTGTCCTGTACTGGGCCTCAGCCTCCCTGGGTGGGTGGCACCGTTTCTTGCAGCCCGTGCAGTGCCCCTGCCTGCCAGTCCACAGGGCACAGAGCCGGGCTCTCTCGGCTCTCCAGGGGCCCTTCCTGTAGCCGGGGGCCTTGAAGAAAGGGTAGCAAGACTGGGAACAGGAGGGAGAAAAGTGCCCTTGAGTAGGATTCAGGCCCCAAGCACCCCCGAGTGCTGCTCTGGAGTGCTCTGTCTCTTGGGATGGGCTCCCCCTCCCAGTGCAAACATTTGTCCGGCTCTGTAACCTGGGGGGCTGTTTACTGCTATGTGGACAGAGGCCCTGGGCACAGCAGGTGGTGACAAAGTCGGGATTCAAACCTGGGACAGCACAGAGAGGACCCAGGGTGACCCCCTGGTGGGTCTGAGGGAGTTCAGCTGGGGCCTTGGCATTTGTTTGTTTACCAAGACGGCCCTGCATGGTGTGGATTGTTCCAAGATGTCCCTGTTCTCTGAGGAATGCACCAGGGCTGGGGTGTCACTCTGGGCTCCGACTGGGGGCTTCCATCCTGACAGCTGCTGGCCCCGGAGGCTGGCCTGGTTTGCACCCTCTGAAAGGCTCTGGCTGCCCCTGAGCTTAGCAGGCTCTGCCCAGGGCCTCATCAATAATAGAAGCCCGGGAGCTGGAGCAATAGCACAGCGGGTAGGGTGTTTGCCTTGCACACGGCCGACCCGGGTTCGATTCCCAGCATCCTATATGGTCCCCTGAGCACCGCCAGGAGTAATTCCTGAGTGAAGAACCAGGAGTAACCCCTGTGCATTGCCGGGTGTGACCCAAAAAGAAAATAAAAATAGAAACCCAAGGAGCAGGGCTGTTGGGCAGGACCTGGGCTGCCCCTGGAGGGTGTGAGGAGGGTAATGGTCTGGGACCCCCAACAAGAGCTGCCCAGAGCCTGGCTGGACAGGTCCTGAGACTCCCGCGTCCTTCAGAGTCACTGCACTGCGCAGAATCTGTGGTCCCCCCCCCCCCTGCACTCCTCTTCCCCTCCTGCACTCCTTCATCCTGACCCACAGGAAGGGCCCTGGAGGCCCCAGGGGCCACTCTGAGTCCAGGCACCACCTGATCTAAGGATCCCCCAGGAGATCCCCAGACCTACCTTTCTTTCTTCCATTTCTCAAGTAAGGAAACCCCCCCCCCCCACCCCCCGCCAAGTTTCAAGACTGGAAGGGACCATCTCCAGTCTATGCATTTACTTTGTTTTATCAACAGCTTCACTTATTTTTTTTTAAGGACTTTGGCACAAGTGGCAGGGCATGTAGCTGGGCATGTGTGAGTTTGTTCCTCTTCCCCCCCAGGCCCCCCCCAAACCTGGCACTGCAGGGTGTGACCCTGGCACTCGGCCAGAGAGTGGCTCCTATTTTATTTTTTAGGGAAAACTTTCAGTTTTTATAGATTTGTTTTCACCACCTGGAAGAATAGTACCAGCTCATTGTTATATGTTAGGTGTTTGGCTATACAGGTTTCAGTAAAAATTTTTATTCTGGGAGACATACAACACATGGCAATTATTGTTTTCTCTCTATATATTATGCTTGGATACACATATACATATATACACATGATATAGGGTATATAAATACATATAGATTACATATATATAAACTGTAGTGTTAATTTGGAAAGTTTTTAAAAAGTAAAAAAAGTAATTTATCCCACTATATTTTTTCCAAATCATTTACTGTGTGATAGCACAGTGGTAGAGCGTTTGCCTTGCATGCAGCCAAGCCAGGTTCGATTCCTCTGCCCCCTCAGAGAGCCCGGAAAGCTACCAAGAGTATCTCACCCACACAGCAAAGCCTGGCAAACTTCCCATAACGTATTCAATATGCCAAACACAGTAACAGCAAGTCTCAAAATGGAGACGTTACTGGGCCCGCTCAAGCAAAATTGATGAACACTGGGAGGACACTGTTTGTTTGTTTGTTTACTACTTTCTACTTTGCAAATGATTCAAACACAGAAAACTCAGTCAATCTTAAGATTGTAGTAACATAGCAAAAATAGTTTTTTTTTGGGGGGGGAGGGAGGTCACACCCAGCGACGCACAGGGCTTACTTCTAACTTTGCACTCAGGAATTACTCCTGGCAGTGCTCAGGGGACCATATGGGATGCAGGGAATTGAACGCAGGTCGACTGCGTTGCAAGGCAAACAAACCCCCTACCTGCTGTACTATCGCTCCAGCCCCCCAAAATAGTTTTTTTTTAATCCGTCTCCTTCCCTTTCAGCTCCCAGTATGCTTTTATTTTTCTGCTCACTACTCTTCCCAAATCTAACGAGATTGATTAGAGGAGTGAGGTTCAATGATCAGAAGATACATGGGCAGAATGGTTAGAAATCGCGTATTCTATCATTTTCTAAATGTATTGAAACTGAAATTTATGATACAATGTATGCTTCCTTTCGAGGAAGGGACCACGCCTGGCAGTGCTTGAGGCTTACTCCTAATTCCGGGAACGGGGGCTCAGGGAATGCCATAGATTGACCCCAGGCTGACCACGTGACCACATGCAGGTCAAACGCCCTACCCACTGCACTATCTCCTCTGCCCTGAGCTTGGTTTCAAAAGTCTCTTATTCGTCGCATCCACATGTGTGTGTTCCTTGGCACTGCAGGACACAGTGAGAGACATGTGCACCACCAGCAGGCCCCAGCATATAAAGTTTTAACTTTTAACAGGCAAAATAAAAGGCATGTGAACTTTTTTTTGGGGAGGTCACACCCAGTGATGCTCAAAAGTTACTCCTGGCTCTGCACCCAGGAATCACCCCTGGCAGTGTTCAGGGAACCATATGGAGTGCCGGGGTTCGAACCCAGGTCAGCTGCGTGCAAGGCAAACACCCTACCTGCTGTACTATCGCTCCAGCCCAAGTCATGTCAACTTTTATAAAAAGCAAACAGTCTGTCTGTCCCCACATCTCCCCGTGTCTTCATCTCTGAGACATAAGTGTCTGTCTAGCACTTTTATTTATTTTTTGTTTTGTTTTGGGGCTATACCTGGAAATGCTCTGGTCGGCTGCATGTGAGGGAAGCACCCTTCCCATGGTCCTCTTGCTGCAGCCCTTTGGAAACAGCTTTCCAGACCCACCGTCTCAGCCTCCTGCTGAACGAGGCCAAAGCCTCCTACAGACGCTCGGGAGTCCCAGGCTGGTAGACCTAGGCGAGCACTGCGACCCGGCTGAATGCTTTTACCCCTCAGTTTCCTTTCCCACAAGCGAGGTGGTTAGTCTCTGCCTCCAGGGCTTCTTTTGCTTGTCCTTCATGCCGGTGCCCCCACCCTGGCACAAACTTGGTAAGCAGCAGCCTCTGTGGTCAGTGCCAAGTGAGGGCTTCAAGGTATCTTCTCCCCAGCCGCCCTGCTCCCCAGCAGATGTGCCCTTTACAACAGGCTGAAAGCAAAGGAACTGAACTTCTTTCTGCCAACCTCCCCCTGGTCCCTGCTAAGGCTGGTACCAAGAATGACCGTCAGGGGGCGCTCCAACCCCATTCTCCGCACCGCTTTGCTGCTTCTGCCTCCCTGAATGAAACGGAGTGAGCTTAGGGGAGAGAAGCCCAGATGCGGCTCTTACCGCTTCATTCCCACCTGGGTTTGAGGTCCCCCGTGGCTTCATTGTCACTGGTCACTATCAGCAGTGAGAACCTGGATGAGATCTGAGTCCCCATTGCCCTGTCATGGGGCATCCCACACAAGAAGACAAAAAGCCTGGCCTGTGGGCACTGTCGCATCCTGGATGCTTATTTTCAGTTTGCGTTTCTTTTGGTGGTGGTGGTGGTGGTGGTGGTAGTGTGTGTGCGGGGGAGGGGAGGTGGGGGGAATTCCCAGGGGTGCTCACAAAGCCAGATTGTGCTGAGGACCAAATATGAGGCCTAAGGCATGATAGAGAGAACCTGGCTGACCCAAGTTCGATTCCTCCGCCCCTCTTGGAGAGCCCGGCAAGCTACCGAGAGTATCTCGCCTGCACGGCAGAGCCTGGCAAGCTCCCTGTGACGTATTCGATATGCCAAACACAGTAACAAGTCTCACGATGGAGATGTTACTGGGCCTGCTCAAGCAAATCGATGAATAACGGGATGACCGTGACCGTGACCATGATATATATATATATATATATATATATATATATATATATATACTCGAGCGATAGCACAGCGGGTAGGGCGTTTGCCTTACAAGCGGCCAACATGGTCGTACCGAGTTCGATTCCTCCGCCCCTCTCGGAGAGCCCGGCAAGCTACCGAGAGTATTCGATATGCCAGACACAGTAACAACAAAGTCTCCAATGGAGACGTTACTGGGCCCGCTCGAGCAAATCGACGATCAACGGGAGGGCCTTTACCTTTACCTTTGACTATATATATATATATGTATATGTATATATATATATATATATTTCAGAGAGTCGGGCAAACTACTGAGAGTATTCCACCCGCACGAGCAGAGCCCGGCAAGCTCCCCGTGGCATATTCAATATGCCAAAACCAGTAACTAGAACAGTTCTCATTCCCCTGACCCTGAAAGAGCCTCCAGTTGTTGGGAAAGACGAGTAAGGAGAGGCTGTTAAAATCTCAGGGCTGGGATGAATAGAGATGTTACTGTCACCGGCTCAAGAAACTCAACAACGACGGAGTGACAGTGACAGTGACAATGCATGTTAGAACACGGAGTCTGGTGCATGTCTGCTCCCGGCTTCTGGGCCTTCTCCCCTGCCTGACGCTTCCTGGCTGCACAACCAACTAGCAGAGGGCTGTGAGTCACCCTCTGCTGTCACCCCACCCCAGCAGAAGCAGACTTGGTGCAGAGTTTGGTGACAGAGAGGGTCATCTGGCCTCCCCTCCCCCCTCTGCTGCCCCCCAGAAAGGAGGCGTGGCCTCCCCCCCTGACTGCCCCCTGCAGAGAGGAGGTGTGACCTCCACTCCCCCTGACTGTGTCTCCCCCCTCCCCCGCAGAAAGGAGGTGTGGCCTCAGGATTCAAGCACGTGGTGCCCAACGAGGTGTCCGTGCAGAGACTCCTGCATGTCAAAGGGAAGCGCACAATCCGCGCCACAGAGGTGCCCGTGTCCTGGAACAGCTTCAACAAGGGCGACTGCTTCATCCTGGACCTGGGCCAGGTGAGTCCTGCCCTGCTGCAGAGGGCCCCGGGCCAGGCCCGACTGGGGGCGGGGTGGACACCCCTGGTCAACACTGGCAAACGCACAGCCAGGCCTGCACACTGCATGCCCGCCCTCAGTCTCCTGCTGGCCTCTCCCAATGTCCACTCGGGTGCCCGGCCGTTTGCAGCTCAGCCCAGTCCTTCCCGTTCTGGAACCTGCACGAGGTTCCTTTGCTCTTCCGTGTCCTGCTTTTATGGCTCCAGCCACACGGAGGCTGACCGGCAGTGCCACCACTCACGGACCTTTCTGCAGTCGAGAGTCCGGGTGGCTTCGGGCTTGGGGCCATGGTCTGTGCTGGTGGATGTGGGGCTGCACTGTTGCGCGTGCTCCCTGCTAGGGCCACTCAGAGGGCAGCAGGGGCAGCGAACTCCAGCCTGACTCTTCCCAGACACTGGTCCCATCTCCCTGCCATCAGGCAGACACTTGTCCCTTTGAGGCACCCATCTCCTGGGCATAGTGCACCCCCTCCAAGCTGGGATGGACACCTGGGCACGCGCCCCCGGGCCCCCCTGGGGCCAGCAGAGCATACGCGGGGCGACCACACGCCGAGCAGCATCTCGGGCACGGCTCACGCGAGGCCCCGCCTTACAGGACATCTACCAGTGGTGCGGCCCTGGCTGCACCCCCTTCGAGAGGATGAAGGCCACGCAGGTGTCCAAGGCCATCCGGGACAACGAGCGCAATGGCCGCGCCCGCGTGCAGGTGATCGAGGAGGGCAAAGAGCCGGAGGCGATGCTCCAGGTACAAAGGCCACACCCCGGGGCGTGGTCAGGCACTCAGGACCGTCTCCAGGCAGCGCGGCTTTCCGAGGGGAATTGGGGTACCCACCAAGCTGGGTCTTTAGAGGAAGTGGGAAGGAGCCTCAGCCCGACACCTCTCAGACCCCAGGGAGAGAGGAGGGTGCTAGGGTCGCAGGAGCTGGTGCAAATGGGGCTGGGGTTTGGGAGCCACAGCTACCAGCTGGGGGTGCCACAGAGCTGAGGACTAGAGTCCTGGCATGTCCTGAGGGCAGGCCTGGTGTGGGAGCTCGCTACAAGCTGACAGGAAACTGCTCCTTTTCCTTTACTGACCATCCAGGCTCTTCTCTGCCCTCTTAGTCAAGCGCTTGGTGGCACTGCTGGCCATTGTGCTTTGAGCACATATAATAGAGGTCAAGTCACTGGGAAAAGGAGGAGACCAGGAACTCTGCTCCATGCTGTTTGGCTCCTGCTGGTCTGGGGCAGAAGGGGAGGTGGAGTGGTTCCAATTTTTTTTTTTAATCAACAGAAGGTGATTCTTAGGAGAGAAGCCTGGTCACCAATTTGGCTTGGTCTGGGGCAGCAGTGGTGATGGGGATGAGGGTGACAGTGGCTGGTGGGAGCCCAGAAAGGAGGAGTGGAAATAGCTCTGTAGCCCCCCGGGGTCTGTGTGCAGATCCCACTGGGCCCCCTCGGCCCCCGGCTCCCCGGGTCTGTGTGCAAAACCTCCTTTAGCCCTGGCTTCCCTGTGAGTGCAGGTTCCATGTGTTTCCCCTTCCTCAGAAGGAGCGTGATTCTGGTCTCAGAGCATGCGTGTGAGTATGCTCGTGTGTACGACATGTGTGTTTGTAAGTATATCTGCATGCACGCATGTGTGTACATGTGTATGCATGTGTGTCTGCATGTATGTATATACAGGTATGCCTGTGAGTATGTTTGTACATCCATGTGTACCTGCATGTGTGCACTTGAGTGCACATGTATACATAATTGTGTGCTGTATGTGTGTGCATGTGTGTGTATATGCATGTGTGTGTGCGCACATGTGTGCAGGGTCCTTGTCTTCCCTGGACCGGGAGTCCCACTGGGGTCCAGGCCCCTGCTAGGGAAGCGAACTCACAACACAACCACCCTTCCTGCCTCTCCCGCAGGTGCTGGGCCCCAAGCCCACTTTGCCCGAAGGCACCAGTGATGACATCCAGGCGGACGCGAGCAACCGCAAGCTGGCCAAGCTCTACAAGGTGAGCCCGGGCGCTGTCCCTGCAGGTGGGAGGCCAGTGTTCTCACTGGCTGCGGGGTCTGTGCCGAGCTCTTCCATGGGAGCTGAGGGCCCAGTTGGACGGTTACCACAGCGTATGGGGGACACATCTCCCTGTGTCTTCCTGCACAGAGAGGAGAGAGTGCAGCCAGCGTGGACACAGCCTCACCCCGTTTGTGTGGGGCTGTGGGCAGCACTGACCCCTCCTCAGGTCTCAGTGTCCTTGTCAGTTGGGAGGGGGGTGTCCAGGGCAGTGGGGTCCTCTCTGCAGGGCTGCTGGAATTGCACAGAGAAAGGTGCAGGCAAAGTATGTCAGGAAAATACTGTGGCAGTGGGGGTCTGGCTGGTTTTTTGTGGGGACTCCATCCTTTCCTCCTTCGGATTTGAAGTCTGAATGAGGTTGATCTTGGGCATAGGAACTCGCAGCTGCGCTTTCTCCTGGAACTCAGGAGAAACTCATTAGCGCCTGATGCAACCTCAACTCAGTTGTGGTTAGAGAGCAAAGCAGGGCTCAGATGCCATCGCCTCCCCAGAATACCACACGATTTTACTTCTGATTACGAAGTCACATGTCCCCACAGTGAAAAGAAAGGATACACGTGACTCCAGAATGTTAAAGCACAAAAAGTTCCAGGCAATTTCACCAGGTTAGCTAGGACTCCACCTGCTGGTTTAGTTGCTACAGCAACATTACTCAATTATTCAAAGCAGCCCTTTTCTTATGATTTTATTTGTTTGCTTTTTGGGCTGCACTCAGCCGTGCTTGGGGGCTCGGTGCTCAGAGGGTGCTCCCAGCAGTACTCAGGGGACCGTGTGGTCACTATCACTGTCCTCCCATTGTTCATTGATTTGATCGTGCATGCCCAGTAACGTCTCCATTGTGAGACTTCTTGTTACTGTGTTTGGCATATGGAATACGTCATGGGTAGCTTGCCAGGCTTTGTCATGCGGGCAAGACACTTTCAGTAGCTTGCCGGGCTCTCCGAGAGGGGCAGAGGAATCAAACTCGGGTCGGCCAGGTTGGCCACGTGCAAGGCAAATGCCCTACTTGCTGTGCTATCGCTCCAGGACCGTGTGATACCAGGGACAATTTGTGGGTACACACACAGGTGCTCTGTACCTGTTTCTGGGGGGGGGGGCAGATGGGCTGTGGGAGGTACTCACTAACCAGTGCTCTTCCTCCCCCCACCCAGGTCTCCAACAGTGCGGGCTCCATGACTGTGTCCATGGTGGCAGACGAGAACCCCTTCTCACAGGGGGCTTTGGGCACCCAGGACTGCTTCATCCTGGACCACGGCAAGAATGGGAAGATCTTCGTCTGGAAAGGTACCAGCCAGTGGGCCAGGCCTCTCCTAGCCTCTAGGGCCCATGGACGTCAGGAGTCTCGTGCAGACACCTTGCAGCTGACACGCTGTGTGATCTTGGGCACCTTGCTTCACCTCTCTGAGCCCCAGCTAGCTCGTGTTTCCCCACGTGTGCCATCCAAGTCATTTTTGTTTATTTGGGCGCCACGCCCAGCAGTTCTCAGGATTTGCTCTTGGCTCTGTGCTCAGGCATCACTCCTGGCGGGGCGTAGGGAACCACATGGGTTGCCAAGGATGGAACCCAGATAGACCGAGTGCCAGGCAAGCACCCTCCCCTCTACAGCTATAACTCTGCCACCTCAAAGTCATTTTTGAAGAGTTTCACTGGCATTATGAAATAGACATAGTACTCGAGTCAGTGAGTTGCAGAGGGACCAGGGAGAGATTGTCGAGGCTGGATCACATGCTTGACATGCTCGAGATCCCACGTTTGATCCCCAGCACCGCCTTCCCTCCCAGTACCGCTGGGGGTAGCCCCAGAGTCCCTCAGCCGTGGGACTGAGCACTATAGCATCGCTACTCTCCAGTGAACCTCCAGCCTGGCCAGGGTCACCAGGAGTGACCCCCAAGATCCCTGAGTCTTGCTTAGGAGACACCCACAAACCTTCATGGGCAGCGTGGAGTTAAGTGATTGGTGGGAGGTGGGCGGAGGGGAGTGTTTCTTACAGGACTTTGAGGGGCCTCAAAACTACTGTCTGCTGAGGTCTTTCCTCAGGGCACTGTGGTTGGTCTGGGCAATGTGGAGCTCGGGTGCTCGAGGCCTCGGTGGGGGATCCTGTGGGACTGTTTGTGGGGGGCTGCTGGAAAATGTGGGTCCAAACGTTTCTGAGAGGCCCCCTGGGCATCCTTTTCTGATGCCCCTTGGCCAGTGCAGGGGAAGGAGGAGAGGGGCAGCCTTGGCCCTCAGACTGGATCACCAGGGTCTCCCGGGCACCGAAGCCTGGCCAGGGAAGTGCTGGGGCCAGTGAGTGAGGAAGTCTCAGGTGCTCAGGGCAGCCACAGACAAGGCATGGCGGGGAGTCCCCTGCCGTGGCCATGGTCTGGGGAGGGGGGGCTGAGTGAGGCCTTCTTGGCTCTCAGCAATCACCAAGACCCCCCTGCAGCTGCCCACCCTGGGCTACTCTTCTGTGTAGAGCAGCTGAGATAATAATGGGCTCTCTGACGGGGCCACACGCTCAGTGAGTGGAGCACAAGGGTTGCTGGACTGGCTGGACTCAGAGTGGTCGGCTCGGGGGCGGGGGTCCCTGGCACCCCAGCCTGAGAAGAAGAGATCTTGGGACCATGGAAGCCGAGCCTAGTGCTGACCCAAATCCCGCTCTGTTCTCTGGTCCGGCTGCAAACAGGCAAGCAAGCTAACACGGAGGAGAGAAAGGCCGCTCTCAAGACCGCCTCCGAGTTCATCTCCAGCATGGGATACCCCAGGCACACCCAGGTGAGCCTGGAGCCCTGTGGGGCTGCCCCTGCCTTCCCAGTGGATACAGCACCCTAGAAAGCCCAGTTTTGGAAGCCACATCCGAACCCCTCGCTCACCCCTCCCAGGTCTCCGTCCTCCCCGAGGGTGGCGAGACTCCCCTGTTCAAGCAATTCTTCAAGAACTGGCGAGACCCCGACCAGACAGACGGCCCGGGCCTGGCTTACCTCTCCAGCCACATCGCCAACGTGGAGCGCGTGCCGTTCGACGCAGCCACCCTGCACACGTCCACTGCCATGGCCGCCCAGCACGCCATGGTGGATGACGGCACAGGCCAGAAGCAGGTGCTGGGGCCGGGGTGTGGGCACAGGGCCGGGAGCATGCTCTGAGCTCTGGCCAGTGTGAGAGGGGAGAATCTGGTCTGAATTCAGACCGTGGTTGGTCTGAATTTGCTCCACCTGCATACACTGGGTGCCTATTGTGTGCGCAGTACTGAGTATCCAGCACCCGGTGGGATACGGGTGAGAATGACAGCTGCACACTCAGTGGGGAGAGGGTAGGGGCCCGTGGGCAGGTTGAATCGAAAGGGCGGTGGGTGCTGGAGGGGGTCATGGCGACCTTCCGGCCTTGGGGGACGTGGAGGGAGTGGTTGGGCGGGGAGCTGTCCCCCCTTTCTCGGTGCTGACGGGCTCTGCATGGTGGACCCTTGCAAGTCAGGTCCGAGCCGATAGACTTGATCCTGTAAGCAGTGGGGGTTGTTCTCCCCTTAAAGGGGGCAGACTGTGGCAGGATCTTCTCTGTGCTTTGGAGATGCCCTGTGGAAATTGTGCAGAGGGGAATGAAGGTTGGGACTCCCCCCTACCCCCAAGTGGGTGGAAAGCACTCGGGGGCTGAGGCATCCCTTGAGATGATAGGGGCGGTCACAGGGAAGGTGGAAAAGGGCACGGTGGGGCTCAGAGAGGGCTAGCGGGTTGGTTCCACTTCTGGTCAACATCGATTCCATTCCACATGAGGGACGGCCATTCCTGTTTATTTATTATCGGTTTGTCCTTGCTCAGCGGAAGGGGATGATGAGGAAAACGGTCAGAGTAGGGTTGTCCATAAAAACTCTGGCTCCCTGTGTCTATGATCGAGTGATTAAGAGCGATTAATCACTTCTTAGCCTGTTTGAGCCTAACTTTCTTCATCTGTAAAATGTGGGGAGGGCAAGGATGGAGGTGAATCTACCCCCTCACCTTCCAGAATTTTCCAGCCGCCAAGATTCTGGGACCCTATTTCCCTGCACTTGGAAAGTCAGTGACTCACTGAGCCAGCAGGTGGCGCTGTAGAGACTGGTCCCCACCAGGTGTCTTTCACTCTGAAGATCCATCCCAATGGGATTGAGGGTGGGGTAGGGGGGATCTATTAAATCCAGACAGTTCAGCAGCGAATTCCATCATGATGCAGATAATTCACCACAGGAATCATCATGCTGTTACTAAGAGTAGCTGCTATCCACAGAGAGGGCAGCCTGGGCCAGGTGCTGGGCTAGCCCTCATGAATAAACTCACCTGGTCCCCATGCCAGACTAGCCGGGCAGGGGCCTTTATTAATCCAAATTTCAGATGAGGAACGGAGGCGTCTTAGTCTAAGTTGCTTGTTGGAAGTTGCATCTTCCAGCAAGTAGGACCTGCTTTGAGCTACATCCCACCTACCGAGATGCCTTTAAGCCCTCGTGGGTTAGACTCGCTAAAATCGGATTCTGAAACATCCCCCTGGCCACATCCCTACAGGACCCAGCCCGGGAGGCCTGGGTTTGAATCCCAGTGGCCCTGTGATTCGGGGGTGTGATTTCACTTCCGTTTGAAGCCGGGGGAGGCAGGAAAACACAACCACCCTCGAGGTGATGAGTAGGGGTACATGGCAGCCGGCCACATCCGAACACAGCTTTTCCCTCACAGATCTGGAGAATTGAAGGTTCCGACAAAGTGCCCGTGGACCCGTCCACATACGGGCAGTTCTATGGCGGCGACAGCTACATCATCCTCTACAATTACCGTCACGGCACCCGCCAGGGACAGATCATTTACAACTGGTGAGGGTCGGCTCTGTGCTGATGGGGGTGGGGGGAGGGGGTGCTGGCTGGGTCCTGAGCTTGGTTACAGGTCGGGGGGCAGGGCTGAAGGGGGTAAGGGCCTGAGCGCCAACAGCCACCTTGATGGAAAAGGCTCTTCCCAGAGGGGACCCCCATGTCCAGGATGTAAGCCAGAGGCCCACTAGCATTCAGCTCTCCTGTTTCTCGTCTGTGCCACCCCCTGTCTTTTCTTTCCTTTCCCTGACCTCGACCCCAGGGAGGAGAACTGACCAGTGATTTTGTAGATTATCTTTCCTCGGTAATTGCATACTGTGTGGAACAAAATTTAAAGGCGGACATTTTATTTTATTTTAGTTTTGCTTTTTGGGTCACACCCAGCAATGCTCAGGGCTTACTCCTGGATCTGCACTCAGGAATTACTCCTGGTGGTGCTCGAGGGACCCTATGGGATGCTGGGAATCGAACCTGGGTGAGCCACGTGCAAGGCAAATGCCCTACCCGCTGTGCTATCGCTCTAGTCCCAAAGGCAGACATTTTTAAAAATTAATGCATAAGCATATTGAGGTGTCTGTCTGCATGTATAGGACACACTTGTAGGTTAAGGGAAATTCCGACCTACTGAGAGGTGGGCCAGAATGTCGGGCTCCCCTTTCCCTGCAGTTTCAAGCCACAGCGTGCCTCTTGGTTTCATCTGCACACACGCCTCTGCATCCAACCGCACAAGGCTAAATCTACTGAAGTCTTTTCCTGCTAATGTGCTCAGGGCCCAGTTTCCACCCCAAGAGATGTGCTGATTATCTTTCTCCATCTTTGAATCAAGTCCTAGCGCCGTCTCTTGTGGGCTAAGCTAGCCTGTTCCCAAGTGATGTACTTAGGCTGAGGAAGTCCACTGGCTTTTAAGAAAAAGAATTGGGGGGAGGGGTCCGTCCCCACAGATGCTTCAGGGCTGCTCCCAGCAGTGCTCAGGAGACTATGCGGTCCCGGGGATAGCAACCAGGGCTGCTCCGTGCAAGGCACAGTTCTGTCCCTCAGTGCCATCTGCTCAGCCCTAAGTCTATTGGGTTGGTTTTCCCAGATCTGGACAAGGTGGCCAGATGCTGAGCTGGGGTGTGACTTGTGGGGCTGCTTCCTCCTCTGGTGGCTCTTGGGCACCTCTTTTCCCGGTCTGGGACTCAGTTTTACAACCTATAATCTGGGGCTTTGTGGGTTTCTGAGACCCCAGGCAAGGACCTGTGGGAAGATAGTGCTGAGTGTCACTTCCTCTTACAGGCAGGGTGCCCAGTCCACCCAGGATGAGGTTGCTGCATCTGCCATCCTGACTGCCCAGCTGGATGAGGAACTGGGAGGAACCCCCGTCCAGGTGAGCATGGCCCACTGCCCCCGGGTAGCGATACAGGGTTTAGGTACCTGGTCACCCATCCATCCATTTGTTAGTCTGTCATCCATTCATCTGTCCACCCATCCATCTGTCCATCTACCTATCCAACCATTCATCTGTCTGTCCATCCATTCATTTATCCACTCATTCATCTATCCACCTGCCATGCATTCATTCATCCATCCATCTGTCCACTTTTTCATTCATCTGTTCATTCACCCACACATCTGTTCATCTATCTGTCCACCCGTCCGTGCACCCAACTGTCTGTCCATCTGTCCATCCACCCATCCCTCCATTGATCCATCCCTCTGTCCATCCACCATCCATCCATCCATCCATCCGTCCCTATACCCACTCATCTGTCCATCTGTCTATCCATCCATCTGTCCGTCCATCGTCTACACAGGGTGCTCATGTATCCAACACCAGGACTGCAGCTGTGAGCACAGAGACCTTCCTCCCACCAGGTTAAGTTCTTGAGGGTGGGAGGGGGGAGAGATTCAGCAGCCACAGCCCCATGGTGGGGGATCATGGGTACAGGGTGTGGGAAAGACGCGTGAGGGGAGACAGTGAGAGCCGTGGGCGAGGCCGCCTGGGGACAGTCAGGGACGGACAGGGAGCCAACCTGTGGGCTCTGAACCCTGCATGTCTGAGAGCCTTGGCCAGATCTGAGCCGCGCTGTCCATCAGGCTCTCACACTGGGCCTCACACCAGGACAGTGAGGGTGAAGCCTTGAGTTTTGGAAAGTCAGCAAAAGGGACTTTTTCTTGGTCCACACTAAGCCCCTTAAGGCATGTGCATGCGTGCATGGGTGTATGTGTGTGTGTGTGTGTGTGTGTGTGTGTGTGTGTGTGTGTGTAGTATAGGGTCACAGACTCACAAATTCCGGGTGAGGTCAACTGAATTAGAGGAAAGGAATTATCTAATGGTTTGTGTAGGCATTGGTGATGCACAAAGAGAAGGAAAGTGAGTTGCAAGCAGCGGGCAGGGCCTGGGGTGTTAGCACAGGGGTCTGGAGCACCACAGTGAGGCTCGAAGACCTGCTCCTGGGGAGCCCCAGAAGCCACTTGAGGACAAAGGGACATTGCTGAGTGGTAAATCTGATGTGAGGGGCTTGTTGAAAGGTGGTTCTAGCTCCAGTGTGGGGCCCTGGAGGTCAGCGAGGGAGAGGATGGGGAGAGGCCAAACTCCTGCCTCCTCTGACCCTGCAGCGAGCCAGGTCCGGATCCAGGGTTGGGTGCCAGGCGCTCGTGGGATTCATCCTGGGGTTGATCCACAGCCCTGGGGGCAGTCTCCAGGGCTCCACAAAGGAGGAGCCTGAAAAGTGGAGGCAGGTGTCTGGAGGCAAGTGTTTCTACTAGGGCCGCTGGGTTCTATGCTCTGTGCCCGTGGAGGCTGCCCTGAGGGCATCCCGGTGCCTCTGCCCCCCCCCTGCACACAGTTAGCTAGAGGGCCACGCCTGGTGTATGAAAAGTGGGTGCATAGGTGGTCGAGTCTGTCATAGACCTCCTTGCCCCCGAACACACCCCAAACTCCAAAAGCAGCATTGTCTGGGGCCCTGGGGTCCTCCAGGTCTGATGCATAGACACAGACATACACAGGCACACACACACACACACACACACACACACACACTCATAGAGATACATAAAGACACAGAGGCACTTAGACTCACAGATGCACATAGACACACAGACACACACATATGTGCAGACACACACACATACAGGTGCATACCTACAGACACACATAGATGCACACACATAGACACACAGACCCACACAGGTGCACACACAGACACACACAGGTGCACAGACACGTAGACACAGATATGCATAGATATATAGACACAGGGCTCACTTAGACTCACAGATGTACAGACACACAGACACATACATATAAGGCAGACATACATGTATGTGAGTAGCCTCCCTGCTGGCGGGGAGGGCCAATGGGCTGGGCCATACGGAACTGACCCCCTCTCTCCTCCCCCCCTCCCAACCAGAGCCGAGTGATCCAGGGCAAGGAGCCCGCGCACCTCATGAGCCTGTTTGGCGGGAAGCCCATGATCATCTACAAGGGGGGCACGTCCCGCGAGGGCGGGCAGACGGCCCCCGCCAGCACCCGCCTCTTCCAGGTCCGGGCTAACAGCGCGGGAGCCACCCGGGCCGTGGAGGTAATGCGCCACCCCCCACGAGGATGCGTGTCTGTGTCCCTTCCTGCTTGGCACCTGGGATCCATGTCTCAGACCTGCCCCTGTTGTCCGCTTGCCCAGTGCTCCTTGCATACCTCCTCCCTTGGGCAGCTCCCTCTCTCCCAGGCCTTTACCTCTGTCTCCCTCTGGAGGCTGCTCAGGGTCACATCCCGCCTGGCCGCTCCTCGTTTCGGACCCGAATCCTCTAAGAGGTTCTGAGCCGTCGTTGAGAGGATAGTGGAACTCTCGCCTCCTTGCTCCTAAGCACCCTGCTTCTGTTAATGCAGACTAGGCTTCCATCGCTTCTATGGGGCGTCAGGGAGTCAGAGGGTTATCTCTGCCTCTCTGTGTGCAGAGCTGGTGCCCTCCGCTGGGGCGGCCTGTGCCCCTCTGTGCCCCTACCTAAGCATCCGTCTTGCACAAGTCCCCTGGGGTGGGAGGGGAGAGGGAGCAGGGGCTCGGGTCTGATTCCTCGTGCCTGGCTCTCCACCCTCACAGATCATGCCCAAGGCTGGCATGCTCAACTCCAATGATGCCTTTGTCCTGAAAACACCCTCGGCTGCCTACCTGTGGGTGGGGACGGGAGCCAGCGAAGTGGAGAAGAAGGGGGCCGAGGAGCTGCTCCGGGTGCTGCGGGCCCAGCCCGTACAGGTGGCAGAAGGCAGCGAACCAGGTAGGAGAGGGGCCTAGGGCCCAGTGCTCATGGGTTCTGCATTCACCGTGTGTGTGTGTGTGTGTGTGTGTGTGTGTGTGTGCGCGCGTGTGTGTGTGCGTGCACGCGCGCGCGCGGGGGGTGGGGGGAGGAGGAAGTTCAGCCTCAGGAGGAAGTTCCCACCTCTCTGCCCGTGTGCAGAGTTTGCTGACTCAGAGCAGTGGGAGAGAGGGAGACCCCTGGGAGGTGGAGGAGGGCTCAGCTCTGGGCCATGGGAGGGCGGTGACAGGGGTGGACGCGTCCCAGCGACATATCCCCCCAAGGGGGAATCTCCAGGGCCAGAAAGGTCAGAGCTGGCTATGTTTTCAGAATCAGAACATTGGCCCTGGGGGCTGGAGCGATAGCACAGCGGGTAGGGCGTTTGCCTTGCACGTGGCTGACCCGGGTTCAATTCCCAGCATCCCACATGGTCCCCCGAGCACCACCAGGAGTAATTCCTGATTACAGAGCCAGGAGTAAACCCCTGTGCAGTGCCGGGTGTGACCAAAAAAGCAAAACAAACAAAAAAAGAACATAGGTCCGGATTGACTTCTTTGGGAGGAAAGGGGATTAGGGGCATACTCATCTTGCCCAGGGGCTACTCCTGGCTCTGTGCTCAGGGAATTACTCCCAGCAGGTTTGGGGGGTGCGGGGCATGTGGGATGCTGACAACTAAACCCGGTTGGCCGCACCCAAGGCTAATGCCCTCACTGCTGTACTACTGCTCTGGCCCTAGAGATGGCTGCTTTTTTGTTGTTGCCTGGTTTTGTTTTGTGCTCCTGGTTCACTCCTGACTCTGTGCTCAGGAATCACTCCTGATAGGGCTCAGGGAACCATATGGGCTGCGGGGGATCGAACCCAGGCCAGCCACGTGGTGGGCAAGCACCCTCCCCACTGTACTGTACTTTCTCTTCGGCCCCAGAAATGGCTCCCAAGGCCTCAGTCTTTCTGCTCTTGCTTTGTGCCGGTTCCCTTCTGCCTGGGGGTGGCCAGAAAGGGCACGGCGGGTCCGAGCTCCGATGCTGCTGAGAGGAGGGCCTTGCCGTGTGTCAGCCCCAGTCCTGAGGCACGTAATGGGGGCAGGCAATGCGACGGCTGGGAAGGGATGAAGACGAGGGGCTGCCGCCTTCACTGGGCCTCAGTTAATGGACCTCCACGTGACCGCAGAGGACTGAGCAGGGGCGTGCGGGGAATCTGAGTCCGACCAGTCCTGCAGACTGGCTTGTGCACTGCACTCACTCGCTGTGTGGCACTGAGTGAATCGCTCCACCTCTCTGAGCTCAGTCGGTGCTTGTGTCCAGGTGGCGATAATTAGACGCATCCTGCCAGGCTGTCATCAGCCTAGCCGACAACAGGAGCTGGAAGGAGTCGTGGCTGTGTGTCTCCTGCCAAAGTCTGCCCTCTCTGGGTCATTTATTTCATCGCCTTCCGTTGCCTCTAGGGCCCTCCTTGGCCCCAGGATCTCAGGGGGCCAGCTGTCCTGGCAGGTGCAAGGGACAGCTGGTGATGGGTGTGGCCTCCCTTCACAGACAGCTTCTGGGAGGCCCTGGGTGGGAAGACCCAGTACCGCACGTCCCCAAGGCTGAAGGACAAGAAGATGGACGCCCACCCACCGCGCCTCTTTGCCTGCTCCAACAAGATCGGACGCTTTGTGGTGAGTCTCTGTGGAGGTCACGACCTCAACTTTGGGGTGGGTGTGTGGGAGTGGGCATGGAGAGAGGGTCCCAGCAGCTGGACAGGGCTCAGAGTCCAGGAGGGAGCCCCCTGCTGGCCAGAGCTCGCACTGCAGCCCTTCCCCCGGGCCGGAGGATTGGGAGGGGGAAGTGGAGGCCTGTCCTGACCTCCCCTGTGCCTCCCAGATCGAAGAGGTCCCTGGCGAGCTCATGCAGGAAGACCTGGCCACTGATGACGTCATGCTCCTGGACACCTGGGACGAGGTAGGTGACGGACAGCAGGTGGCCGCGGCGGCTAGACGGGTCCAGGAGGGGACGGGCATGGTCCCGCTCTCATACAGGTTGTGGCTGGGGAAAGTCCTGCCACCCCTTCAAGTGAGGAACTCAGCCTCAGCCTTGGTTTCTCACTTGCACGCTAGGCTGCCGGCTCCCACAGATGGGGGGACAGGTGAGTGACATCACCTCGCCAACTGCCAAATGGGGCAGGAGGGCAAGCCCGGTGGCTACCACTCTCCCATGCCGTCTCCTCCCCACCCCCGACCGGCTCTGAGAACTGTGTGCTGGAGGGTGTGAAGTGCCTCTCCTGCATTTGGGAAGGTTCCAGACTGTCTCCGTTTCACCTCTCGGGAGAGCTGTTGTGTGGGATTTGATGGGGAGAGAAGCCCCTTCATTCACCCACTGGGATGGGCTGGGCAGCTGCTTTGTGGCAGGTGAGTCAAAGTCAAAGCCAAAGCCATCAGAAAAGCCAGCCCAGCCCTGCCCTCATGCCCTTCTGTGCAGGGGTGGCGGCCGGAGGGGCTGTCCGTGGCCTTTCCCAGCTAGTTAGCTACTCCCAGAATCAATCATCGGGGTCTAGACAGCGAGGCCCCACCAGGCAGGAACCCACCCTCTATTCCTGGGATGCTCATCTGACACCCCGGGTGGGGGGGCTCTGTAAGGTCTCGGCTTGACTCATGAGCCATCATCACTGATAGCCGCGTTGGCCCCGTGGTGACCTGTGCGATCAGCTGTTGATTCACTCCCTCGGACAATATTGATCGAGCCACACCATCCTCCTTGGAAAATGCTAGAGAGCAAGGGATCTTTTGTTGAACTGGAACACAGCCCCTGCGGGGAGGGCTTCCGGTTCACTAGGAAACATGTTTGTAATGATCAACGTTGGCATGGTCTGAGCTCAGCGTGGCAGGGGCTCTTGAAAGCAGCGTTCTAGTTACTGTGGATATTCGATCAAGTCAGCTAGACCGAGCTCCTGTGTGTGTAGCCGGTCAAAAGCTCTGACGGAGCTGGGGGCGGTGAATTATTTGGTTCCAAGTCTCGGGGCCAGCTGGCCCAGACACAGACAGCTGCAGGGCAGAGTCTCCAGGCCGATGTGGTGTAGATTCACACTGCGGTGTGAGTTTGGCCACTCATTTACTTTTAAGGCATAATTTATTGAGATCATGGTTATTTTTTTTTTAAAGATTTTATTATTTTTTTTATTGAATCACTGTGAGCTAGATCCTTACAATGATTAGGTTTCAGTCCTACAGTGTTCCAACACCCGTCCCTCCACCAGGGTACGTTTCCCAGCACCAGTGTCCCCAGGTTCCCTCCCATCACTCCCTCATCCCCCTTTTCTTCCCTCTCTTTCTCTTTCTTTCTTTCTCTCTCTCTCTCTCTCTCTCTCTCTCTCTTTCTCTCTCTCTCTCTCTCTGGCCACTCATTTGTGGATGAAGTAAGAAAAGGGACCAGTCATGGCCTTTTAGAGAAGCATTTCAGCTCAGCACCTGGGGGGTTCTGCCTGAGTAAAGCGGGCGGGGAGGGAGAGACAAGCAAGGGTGGGGGAGACGTGCAGGAGTGGGGATGAGTCATGCAGTAGTGAGGAGAGATGTGCAGGGTGGTGGAGGCGTGTAGGGTGGTGGAGGTGTGCAGGGGTGAGGAGAGACATGAGGATAGGGGAGATGTTCAGGGGTAGAGGAGGCAAGCAGGGGTGAGGAGGGGTATGTAAAGGTGAGAGATGTGTAGGGTGAGGAGAAATGTGCAGGGGTGAGGAGAGAGGTGTAGCGGTAAGGAGAGAGGTGCAGGGGTGAGGAGAGAGGTGCAGGGGTGAGGAGAGATGTGTAGGGGTGAGGAGAGATATGCAGTATGGGGAAGGATGCAGGGGTGAGGAGACACACCAAGGGTGGGGAGATGTTCAGGGATGGGGAGATGTGCAGGGGTGAAGAGAGATACACAGGAGCGAGCAGAAATGTGCAGGGGTCGGGGGAGACGGGTTAGGGTGATGGTGCTAGGATCAAGCGAAGCTGCTGAGTTTATTCCAGTTGTGCTCAGGACCACACTTTCCAGAGGCTCCAAGCTTTCTAGAGAAGTTGGGAATCTCAGTATTGGCGTCATTTAGATTTGTCCCAGTCTCAGCTGGCTCTAGCGGAATGTGGGGGTCATGAAAAATTCAACAGAGGTAAAGGGTTTCTGAGCACACAATGACCAAAAGGAATTCAAACTCAAATGCTAATGGACCTACGGTATTTTGTTAGCATTCACCCAGGAAGCATTTCTTTCTGTCTGTCTTTTTTTTTTTTTCTTCTTGGATTTGGGACCACACCTGAACTGGCTCAGGGCTTACCCCTGGCTCTGCACTCAGAAATTCCAGAAATTCCTCCTGGTGGTACTCAAGGGATCTTATGGGATGCTGGGGATTGAACCTGGGTTGGTCATGTGCAAGGCCAACGCCCTCCCCGCTGAACCATCTCTCCAGCCAGGATTGTTATCATTTCTCTGGGGCAATTCCCAGACCTTGGAGTATCAGGAGCGGAACCCAGTGCACCCACGTGCAATACCTGGGCTCAGTCCTTTCAGCCTGCTCCAGCCTTGGTCGGTGCAGTTGTTTCAGTGGTGCCGGGGATCAAACTTAGGGCCTCACCTGTGAGGCCTGTGCTCTAGCTCTGAGCTTGCATGCCCCGCCCCAGCCATCTGTCTCTTTGCCCTGAGCGTGAGCCCTTCCCCTCCTGCCTGGCACTGAGCAGGAATGGAGAAGCAGAGAAGCCGTGCGGGCCGCCAGCTGGCCTGCCCTGACCCACCAGCACCCCATCACACTGTGGTTTGTAAGCTGACGGTTAGTTTATGGCACTGTAGCACTGTCCTCCCGTTGTTCATTGATTTTCTCGAGCAGGCACCAGTAACGTCTTCATTGTGAGCCTTGTTGTTACTGTTTTTTGGCATATCAGATACACCACGGGGAGCTTGTCAGGCTCTGCCGTGCAGGCAAGATACTCTCGGTAGCTTGCCGGGCTCTTTGATAGGGATGGAGGAATTGAACCCGGGTCGGCCGCATGCAAGGCAAACGCCCTACCTGCTGTGCTATTGCTCTAGCCCTAGTCTATGGCACGACCCACAACCTCCCTTCCCCTCACCCGCAACTCTGAGTTTGGCCAGTATCCCTCATGCATTTCCTCTTTCCTTTCTCCCCACCAGATCTTCGTCTGGGTTGGCAAGGATTCTCAGGAAGAGGAGAAGACAGAGGCTCGGGCTTCCGGTGAGAACCCATGTGTGCTGTGTGTCCGTTTAGCAGTGAGGCGCACAGGGGTGGGGCAAGGCCGCCTGTGGTATTCTTAACCATGGGTGGAGACTTCCTTATCCCCCTGGTGAGCCCTGCCCAGGGTGGCCAAAGACTAGATCCTCCCGAAAGCTTCAAAGCTTCGGGCACACCAGGGAAAGGTGGGGCAAGTTCCCGGGTGCATCTCCATGTCAGCAGAGATGCAAGAAGTGGGTCCCCGGGAGGCTGTTGATGGGGGATCCGGGAGCTCGAGACCCCACAACTGGATCCTGAGATCCTTTCACTTGGCGGGGGGTGGGGGAAGGGAGACAGAAAAAGGGAACGAACAGAAGCTTGGTCAAGCAAGAGGCTTCACAGACACTGTCCTTCACGAGGAATGTGGCGGCAGGGTGCAGGGATGGAGACATTTAGCTCAGGAGTGAGGCTGCAGAGAACCCAGGACCACCCGCCCTGACACACACACACACACACACACACACACACACACACACACACACACACATGTCCAGGCAGCTGCTGCCCAGCCCGCCCTCACCCTCTAAGCCTCTCAACTCTCTCTGCAGCTGAACGCTATATCGAGACAGACCCCGCCAACCGGGACAGGCGGACGCCCATCCACGTGGTGAAGCAAGGCTCTGAGCCTCCCTCCTTCGTGGGCTGGTTCCTGGGCTGGGATGACGACTACTGGGCCGTGGACCCTCTGGAGCGAGCCATGGCGGAGCTGAATGCCTGAGCGAGGACAGTGCCTCCCTGGACCCCCCGACAGTGCCTTTCCCGGCTGCTGGGCCTCCCTGAGACCAGACAGCCAGCGGGCTCACTCCGCCGCGCGTGTGCGTGTATGTGTGGGTGTGTGTGTGGTTGGCTTTAAGGGTTTTTTTTGTTTGTTTTTATCCTAGCCAAAAGTGGCCCTGTAGACACGCAGGGTCCTTGCAAAATGGGTGCCAGGATCTGTGCTTTTGGACGTTCAGTGAAATAAAAAGCATTTTTGAAGTGTATTCGCCTGCTGTGGGGGCATCCGCTCACCTTGTGTTACTCCTGTTCCCCAGCCCCCCCCCCCCCCCCCCCCCCGATGGTATGGGACTGGGGGAGAAGGGAAGGGCTGGGGAAGGCTGCAGAAGGCGTGGGATGGGGGAGGTGGGGGTGGCCGGCAGGGGGCGGTGTATGGTGAAGTTCTTGGGGATCCTGGAGTGGAAGGAAAAAAAGAAAAAAACAGAATTTGTCAACTATAGTTCTATTACTGATATATATATATATGATATATATATCATATATATATATATCACGATCATCCTGTTGTTTGTCGATTTCCTCGAGCAGGCACCAGTAATGTCTCCTTCTTCCTAACCCTGAGATTTTAAAAGAGCCATTTCAATGCTTTCAGGATTAGGAGATTGAGACCCATCATTGTTACTGGTATTTGGCATATTGAGTACGACACGGGAAATTTGCCAGTCTCTGCCGTGCGGGCAGGATACTTTTGGTAGACTGCCAGGTTCTCCAAAAGAAAAATAAGATAATAAGATGTCTTCCGGGAGCTGGGTTTTATAGTCTCTGCATCTTGGCCGTTGATGGGACCAACCTGGCACTGGCGGCAGCTGGTGGGTGTGACACCTACCTACTGGAAGATGGGTGGAGAAGGCCCAGTCCCAATCTAAGTAGGCGTGGAGACCTCAAGTCCGGGACCCACATGCCTGGGTTCCTCTGCCAGTTTTTTCATGCATGAGGCCCGTCCGGACATGTGGAGAGTGGTCCCAGCATGGCCATGGCTGGCTCCGGAGGTTCTCAGCTGTTGGGGCTCTGCTCAGGGCGGGGGGGGTGGAGAGAAACTCAATCCTCCCCCCTCCAAGGGGCCCCAGTGAGGACAGCCAGGCGCAGAGGCAGAAGACTCTGCACTGTTCTCCTCTGGGAGCTGGGTTTTATAGTCTCTGCGTCTTGGCCGTTGATGGGACCAACCTGGCGCTGGCGGCAGCTGGTGGGTGTGATGCCTACCTACTGGAAGATGGGGGGTCTGGGTGGAGAAGGCTCAGTCCCAATCTGAGTAGGCTTGGAGACCTCAGCCCCGGGACCCGCATGCCTGGGTTCCTCTGCCAGTTCTTTCATATATATATATATATATATATATATATATATATATCATTTGCCTTGTACGCGGCTGACCCAGGTTCCATTCCTCCGCCCCTCTTGGAGAGCCTTGCAAGCTACCGAGAGTATCTCACCCTCACGGCAAAGCCTGTCAACCTCCCCGTGACATATTCAATATGCCAAACACAGTAACAACAAGTCTCACGATGAAGACGTTTCTGGGCCTGTTTGAGCAAATCGATGAATAACGGGAGGACCGTGACCGTGACCTCTTGGAGAGCCCAGCTAGCTACTGAGAGTATCCTGCCCTTACGGCAGAGCCTGGAAAGCTCCCTGTGGCATATTCGATATGCCAAAAGCAGTAATAATAACAGGTCTCATTCCCCTGACCCTGAAAGAGCCTCCAATATAGCAGTGTTGGGTAAGGACAGGCTGCTAAAATCTCAGGGCTGGGACGAATGGAGACGTTACTGGTGCCCGCTCAAGTAAATCGATGAACAACAGGATGACAGTGATACAGTGATTAATTTATTATTGGGCAGTTATTACTTGGGGTTTTTTTTTGGGGGGGGGAGATGGACCATACTTAGGAGTGCTCAGGGCTCAGTTGCTGGCTCAGTGCTTGAGATGCCATATGGGATGTAGAGGATTGAACCTGAGTCAGACATGTGCAAAGCCAGGGCTGTCCTGGGCCCCCTGCCCCACCCTTATGATTTCTTATGGCACAGCACCGGTCACTTTGACTTTTGTAAGTGCTCACTTGGGTACTGCGGACACAGCAGCTGGTTCCACCAGCCCCACTCCACCCACAAACCATCTCCCTCGTCCCCAACACTGGCCTCGTTCAGCTCCCTGCCCCGCTCCCCTGGCCGCCCTGTAAGGTCAGTCTCAGTGTTTCTGAATGTTCCTACATTGGCTCCCAGGGAAAGTGGCATTTTGGTCACATCCACCAACGTAGTTCACACAGCACTTTCCTGGGGCCGGTGTGGGCTACCTGGTCTGTGGGGCTGGGGGTTGCTCGGTGCATTCCACCATGGAGGGAGGCACCGTTAGGGGCCCCCCTCTGGCTGCCGCTGAGAATAGAGGTGTACTGACACACGTCTCTGGGCTGCGGGCAGTTCCAGGTGATGAAGGAGGAGGGACGTCTCCTTGGCTGGGTGAGCCATCCGTCTCCCCGTCTCCCCGTGACCCCACATTGGAGCCTTGGACCCTGCACTCCCTCCTGGCTCACTCCCGGGCTGCCACAAGGGTCTGAGCCCTCATTGGCTGCTCTGGTTCCCACAGGCCGTTCTGCCTCCCCCAAAGCTGTTTACAGAAACGTCTGTGATGGCAGCCCTCAAGAGACCCAAACATTGCTGTTGTTGGAGTATGGGGAACTTTCCCGGAGCCCCACCACATTCTGTGGGTGCTGCCGTTCAGCTCCTGCTTGGATTGGGGGGATTGAGGGGCACGACACAAAATCTCCCCCATACATTTCCGTCTGCTTGTGCCTCTGAGCTGTTCTCCAGGGAGGGTCCAACCCACCCAGGTTGCTGCGGAGACACAGACCTCACCCCCTACCCCAACCCTGGCACCCTCCCTGACCCTCATCCTTCTAGTCTCTATTTACTGACTTGGCTTGGGGGTTCCTTCTCCTCTCCCCACGCCCAAGTTCCCACAGGAGGGCAGCCTCAGCACTTTAGTGATGAGGAAGATGTGAAGGAGGGGTGTTTACCTGGCGTTTCCAGAGCAGGCTGATGGTGCGGATCGCCCAGGGAGCTTTTTAAAAGCATCCGTTCCCCTGGGCCTGCCCTCCAGGGAGGGTGCTTCATCGCAGAAGTGACGAGGGTTTTGAGGAAGGAATTTTCCAGGTGAGACACAAGAGGTGGGGCATGGATAAGTCATCTGAGGCAGAGCTAAGACAGGCCCCCGGAAGGGAGCCGTGACTGGTGGCAGACAGCAGAACCTGGTTGGGTGGGTGGGGGGAACGAGAATGGGGGTTGCCAGGCCTGTACGCCCAGGGGTGCAGAGTCCTGGCATGAAGGGCGCGAATGCCAGGCTGATGTCACCAGGTCCAACCTGGTCTTGTGAGTTCAGTCTTGCCGTACCCTGAACGGTTGCTTTGCAGGGTCAGAGGGGAACAACTGGAAAGAGGCAAAACAGCAGACGCATCTGAAAGGTTCGCTACAGGCAGATGAGGCCTGTGAGGAATGTAGCCCTCTTCCTGGGAGTCTCTGCACCCCTGCTCCCCCGAGCTGCGCCGTCTTCACTCCTGGTGCCTGGCACTCCCGCCTCCTGGCAATTTTAGCTTCCTGGCACGAGAGGGAGCAAACTGGGGAAAGGCACAATCATGCACCCACCAGGTGTTTTCCCTCTGCAACCACATGGAGGCCACGGATTTCACCTTCTGCAGCACAGAGATCTGTTTAATGCTAACAGGTGCTAAAGGGGCATCTTTGGAGAAGAGCTGGGCCAGGGCTGGGAGGCGGGGGCCCATCTGAGGAATTTGCTTCAACCGACAAGACGTGGGTGCTGGTTGCTGAACTTCACCAGCCGCTGGAGAGAGGAGAGAACAATCTCCCCAGGTCCCAGTTTCTCCACTGCAAAGATGGCACAGAAACCTAACGGAAGGGCAGGGGAGTTGGGTAGTTGGGCTGGAGCACGTGCTTTACATACAGACCCAGCTTTGGCACTGCTATGTTTGCCCAAATGCAACTGGGCGCAACCCCGGAGGACAGCGGTGAGAGAAGTCTATTTCCCACAAAATGAAAGCCCTAGTGGAGTGGTCTAATACACTAATACATGAGACCTTTAGGAACTTCTCACGACACAGTGACAGATTCCTAGAAGTTGTGACTTTCAGTGAAATGCTGAAAGTGAAAGTAGGTCAGCAGCGAAGAAAATGCTGTTAGTTAAGGGTCTTTCTATAAAAGCTAAAACCTGGGCTTCTGTGTCAGCCACAGACTCAAATTCCGGCTTGGCTGTTGTCACCAGCGTGATCTTTGTTTTGTTTGGGCACCTGGCGATGTTCTGGTCCCAGTGCTTGGGGCTCTCTCCCAGTGGTGCTCTGGGGACCATGCAGTGATTGGGGTCAGACGGGGCCTGTGCTCCAGCCCCCTCCCCTTAGGCTCTTTCTTCTTAGCTTTCTTGGTTGCAAAGTGAAGAAATGAATTTCCTTTTGTTGGTGTAACCAAAGAACCATGCCTATATATCTGTGGAGATGAAAATGCAGCATCATAAGGTGGATCCGATGAGATGTGTTTGGCTGCAAGCCACAAAAAAAAAAAAAAACCTGTCTCAAACCAAACAAAGTCACAAGCACAGTTATGTCCTCTTAAATGACAGTGCTGAGTGTGTGCATGTGTGTGTGTGCGCGTGTGCATATGTATGTGTGTATGTGGTGTATGTGCAGATGTGTGCGCATGTGTGTGGTATGTGTGAGTGTATGTGGTGTATGTATGCATGTGTGTGTGCACGTGTCCACGTGTATGTGTTCAAAAAATGAATACAGAGCCATGGCGCTCTCTTGCCAACTGCGTTTGATGGTCTCGGGCTGCTTCCCACATCCCAGACGGCTGCTGTGCTGGTTGCAAAGCTTTGCCAGCAGCTGGAGAGAGGAAAGAACAATCTTCCCAGGCACTAGTTTCTCCACTGCAAAGATGGCATGAAAACCTAGCGGAAGGGCAGGGGAGTTGGGTGGCTAGGTCAGAGCATGTGCTTTACATGCAGACCCAGCTTTGATCCCTGGCACTGCCATGTTTGCCCAAACGCCACTGGGCACAACCCCGGAGGACATCAGTGAGAGAAGTCTATTTCCCACAAAACGAAAGCCCTAGTGGAGTGGACAAATACACGAGACCTTTAGGAACTTCTCACAACACAGTGACAGATTCTTAGAATTTGTGACTTTCAGTGAAAGTAGGCCAGCAGCGAA